TTATTTTTGTATCGACAAATTGATTTGTCTTTTTGGTCAGTACCTATTTCGACACTCAAAATCGTCGTTTTCAATCATCTTAATTATAAAAAAAATTCGGGGGCGAACCCCCGAGAGAGGGGCCCGCCCCCTCCACCCCCCGTATTTTTGTCCTCCCAAGATTGAAATCCTGGCTACGTCCCTGGTTGGGTTTGTAACCCAAATTCGGCTGGGTTTTCAATGGAAAAATATTATTTTCTTTATTCTACGCGTTTTTTATTGGGAAAATATTGCTTCATTTATTCCACACGTTTTTTATATTATTTTCATCTTAAAGGATATTGTTAGGATTTTGATATGTCCCCTATATATAGTTGTCTTTTATTTACAAGCTAATTTATTATAGAAGTGAGAATAATTGTGAGAAAACACAATTGTTGTAATTCTTTCTCCATTATAGTTTAATATTGTGCTGTATAGTCTCATTCCACCTCCAACAACCGACTTTTCCTAGGAAGTGCCGAAGTTGATATTGGATTTGGAGGAGAAATGAAGTTTTGGGACTCTTCTTTTGTTCATGAAATGTTTATTTCTTTGTCTACGTTTATCGAAGGAAAGATGAGAGTAAAATGAAAAAATATAAGTGCCTTAAGCGGCAATGTTTTCATTGACTGCTTAATTAACGCCCAAGCCCCCAAGCATAACATTTTGAACACTGTCAATAAAAAGTAACATATATTATTAAAAAGTGACATACAATGTCACTTCCTCTATCATGAAAGCTTAATTCACATTTAACATAACACAAAATATATTAACATCTAAAAGATATTCTTAAAAATAAATTGAAAGCTTAGCCAAAAATCTATTGTTTGTGTGACATGTAATTTAAAAGTGGTACAAAATGCTGGCACTTTCTTTTTTAAGAAAGTCATATTCTAGCTATCTTATTTGGATTTTTTTTTGAATCAATTAAAGAGATACATAAAAGATCTTTGTGAAAATTTAAACATAAACATGAATTCAAATTTTGCTTTACATTATAAAGTGACATGATATAACACTGTATTTGTCTTGCAGAATTAATGTGCTTAAATTTAAAATTTTTGAAAAAATTTCACAATTTTTCATTTGTATTTCTTTTGCAGATATAGATAAAATTAATGTTTTCATCTATTATGGAAGGAAATGCCACTTTTTAAAGGAATTTAAGTATTAAAAAGTATCATGTCACTTTTTGATAAATGACGAGTTCATAATGACAAGTCAAAAATGACCACAAAAATGAACTTAATAATCATAGTTTAAACTTCAACCATTTTTACATTGACATTGATAAGGAAATGAAATAAAAAAAAATTAATAATCATGGTTTTGCGTTTAATAATTCATGAAAGATAAATTTCGGTATTTAAACATCATCCATAATATATTTATTAAGGTCACGTTGCAAGCTTCTAACATACTTTTAAATTGCACAAAATGGATTACCGTAGCATAAAATATAGCATGAAATGAAATTTTTTAACGATGAGAATTTTAAGAAGTGAAAAAATAGATTGGCGAGGAGGTTGCGCCTGTTTTCGAGGAATTTCATAATATTAAGAGCATAATCGTTGCGTGATTAAAGAAATAATTAGTATTATTTTAATTATTTCCATTTTTATGGTATTGGGCCTAATTATCCCAATCCATTAATGACCTAGTGCAAATATATAGTAGGCAACTTACAAAAATAACCCTTAAAATTAGAGATCTTTTGAAAAATCACATGAAAAATATTTTGAAAGTAAAAAATACTATATAAAATTAAGTGTCAGATTTTTATATTAAAAAGTGACATCGTATCACTTTTGTTAATGTCACTTTTTAATATAAAAAAGTGATACAAAGTTACTTTTTAAAGTTAAATTTCACTTTTTTATTAAAAAAGACATAAAATGTCATTGTTATTAAAAAGTAGTGTTTGTCATTCAAAAAAATGATAGAAATTTCAACAAAGTGGCGGAATAAAAAAAAAAAGGTGATAGACGCTCAAAAAATATCCCACGAAAAACTTAATACAAAAGTTTCATAATCAGGTAGCAAGCAAACTTAAACCTATTTTTCATATTTTTTTTCTCCAAATTTGTCATTTATGTCGATTTGTACCTGACAAACACAATACATATAGAATTAAGTCATAATTCATTAAAATAACCAATAAATACTCTACATATTCAAAAATGTGTACAAAATAAGCTTATCACCTTCCAATAATCTCAGCCACCTCCATTCAACTATCCATTATCCTTTAGGTCTTTTTGACCCAAATTCCAACAAAAAAAAAAAAAAATCTAACCCAACATATCCATTTGAAGTCGACGTCAAATGAGCATCACACTTTCTTAGTTATGGAGAACAATAGCTTACAAAAATACTCCTAAAATTAGGAGTCTTTTAAAAAAATCATATGAAATATATTTTGGAAGTAATAAATATTGTGTAAAATTAAGTGTCATTTTTTAAATCACAAAGTGAAATATAAAAAAGTAACACAATGTCACAGTTTAAAGTTAAGTGCAATTTTTTTTATTAAAAAGTAATGTACAACTTTCATTAGAAACTGACTTTTGTCACTCAAAAGTGACAAACGTCAAGAAAGTGATAGAAAAAAGTAACAAAAGCTAAAAAAGTGACAGAAATTTAAAAAGTAACAAATACTCAGAAAAGTGGCAAAAAAAAAAAAGTAACAAAATACCAATAAAAATATTGGAATCAATTCGATAAAATGATAGAAAAAAGTGATAAAACTATTGTCCATCATCTTTCTCAGTTCACCGTCAAACTTCACTTTTTTTATACGTATAAAAAGTGAATCAATGTCACTTTTTAAAGTTGAGTGCCACTTTTTATTAAAAAGTGATATACATTTTTATTAAAAAAATGATGTTTATCACTTAAAAAGGTGATAGAAAAAAGTGACAAACGCTAAGAAAAGTTATAGAAATTCAAACAAAGTGTTAATGCAAAAGTGACGAAAATTCAAAAAAGTGACAAATACAAAACAAAATGACAAAAATTTTAAAAAGTGACAAAACACTAAGGGTCCGTTTGATTGCAAGGGTGAAAAATGGGTGGAAAGAAAATGAATTACAGGGAAAATAATTGTCAAGAAATTGTTTTCTAGAGAATTGTTAATTAAGTGTGTTTGATTGGTATAATTTTCCATCTGGAAAATTTTTAAATTTTGTATTCGTTTGGCCTTCGTTTGTATCAAAATTGTCCATTATAGTGAAAATTTTTTCCACACTTGGTTAAAAAATTTGTTTCCATTGCCAAAAAGTTAAAAAAAAAAAAAGTTTCATAAAAAATCATTTTTTTTATCTAAGTTTAGTGTTCGTTTGGCCTTCGTTTGCATCAAAATTGTCCGTGAAAGTGAAATTTTTTTTACACTTGATTATGAAATTTGTTTCCATTACAAAAACAAAAAAAATAAAAAATAAAAAAAAACTGAAAAAAAAAATAAAGGCAGCAAAGATGGAATTCATTTTCCCACCAAAAAGGTAGGAAAATGAATTCCCAAGTTTCTGTCAATTCAGGCGCGTGAGCCTTATAGTGGGAAAATGAATTCCCTTCAATTTTGTAGTCATCAAACAGCACATTTGGTGTCAAATTGAATTTAAATTCCAACTTCCAAGGAATTAAGTTCCCATCAAACATGGCCTAATTAAAACATTGGACTCATTTCAATAAAATGTTAGAAAAAAAGTGACAAACGCTAAGAAAAGTTATAGAAATTCAAAAAAAGTGTCAAATACTAAAAAAGTGAAAAAATTCAAAAAAGTGATAAATGCTCAAAAAAATGACAAAACTTTAAAAAAAATGACAAAACACTAATTAAAACATTGGAATCATTTCAATAAAATGTCAGAAAAAAGTGACAACCAGGGGCGAATCTAGCCTAAAAGTTCAGCTAGGGCGGATATCGATGACTGATGACCGTTGACCATTGTAATAGTCGAAAATATAATTCAATTTATTTTTCAATTAAAATTGACTAAAAACAATGTACATGCGGTTTAGTTGAGCTCAACATCATCTCGACTAATTTTTTTCACTTATCCCTAATTTCCTAAAAACCTAAATTCCCAAATCACAATTCAAAATTCACGAATCAAAATCATAACTCATAGTCT